GGTGAAGGACAAGGAAGGTGAAGGACAAGATGTGTTGCAGTCCATGGAGTCACAAAAAGTCAGACACAGCTGAGCTACTGAGCAACACGATGAAATGAACCCTGATTTGAAGCAGAAAGACTTCCTAATGCCACTCTTAGTATGTGATGCTCAGGATTAAGCACTTCTTCCTTAATACTGATCCCCTGGCTTCTGCCTTGTTCTCTCTTGTGCCAGGTCACACCAGGCACCCTAGACCTCGAGCAGACCCCAAATCCTGCTCCATAAGTCCAGATAGTGTTTGGGCCTAGCTCCCATCTATCAGGTGGGACTTTCACATTCTTCTACCCCAGGAGCCCCCACTTGTCATAACATCATCATAATCCATCCAGACTCCACCCAGGAAGCCCCTGACCCTTTGATGCAGATTTTCCTGAACATTTCCTTTTGGAGACCACATGGGTCAGATCTGTCCCACTGAGGCAGCAGGCTAGGCCTGGACTTAGGCTGAGCGGAATGAAGATCTTCTACATGGCAAGGCCAGTGATGGAGGGAGACAGACACCTGCCTTCTCTAAGTAGGTGTAGCTCCATGTCTTCCCATCAGCGAAGATCCTGGATGTGATGCGACCCGCCTGGTCATATTCCATCCTCTCAGACATGGTGCCCCTCTGGACACCAGCAATGTGGCCCCCTGGGGAGTACGTCACGTTGACACCGTTCAGCCTGCTGCTGGGTGACCAGAGGCTGGGCCGCCCCGTCTGGTCATACAGAATGCGGAGGGTAAACTTGCGGTGGTCATCGTAGATCTTCTCCGTGCGTGTCACGCGGTCAAAGTCCAGAGACAGGAGGTTCCGGTTGTGAACCTGGAGGAGAGGGTAGGAGGAGACAGACAGTCAGTCTAGACATCGTCTGGTCATACAGAATGCGGAGGGTGAACTTGCGGTGGTCATCGTAGATCTTCTCTGTGCGTGTCACGCGGTCAAAGTCCAGAGACAGGAGGTTCCGGTTGTGAACCTGGAGGAGAGGGTAGGAGGAGACAGACAGTCAGTCTAGACATCGAGAACTTGGTCTGAGAAGCTCCTGAGTAGAGGGGACGGCACGTGTCTTGGGTGACAACAGACAAGGGTTTGGACTGTGGCTCCGCCAAGTTTCCTCATCTGTAAAATGGGAATAGTCCTGCCAACTGCATAGGGCTCTCGTGAGGATAAAGACAAGGCAGAGTCTGGGTAAACAGAAGCATATACGATCCATATAATTTCCTAACATGATTCTCCTGATGAGGAGACAAAGGCAGATCCTTCTTAACTCACTCCTGGAGAGGGAGCGGACATGAGGGTCTAGTAAGTCAGTGCCTGACCCCGTATTTCATGTGCCAGGCGCTGCGCTTGTGTTTGACACCAGGTAGACACAGTCAAGGACAGGCTCCAGATCCTGCGGCTGGTGAGTGGCGGGGCCTGGATTCGCCTCTCACCACTGCAACATGCCAACATATGATCTGTGGTCCTTCTTGGGGCCTTGGACTCCCCATCCCCCCTCTGGGGTCTCTCCTTCTCTCTGCCACCACGATCAGGGTCTCCTGGTCACCTCAGTTAGCTCCCAAGGCATCTTCTTCTTCCTGGAGGCCCTGGGAGGCAGTGTGTGTGTGAGTCTGGGATGCCTTCTCGGGCTGTGGGTTGCCTGGGGAACACTATGCTAGGTTTTGGAACATTTGCTCCCAGCAGGTGGCACAGTGGTAAAGGATCTGCCTGCCAATGTGGGAGATGTGAGTTCAATCCCTGGGTCAGGAAGATTCCCTGGAGTAGGAAATGGCAACCCACTCCTGTATTCTTGCCTGAAAAGTTCTATGGACAGAGGAACATGGAACCATTAAATGACAGCAAATGATTGTGGTAATTCTCAGAGGAAGTAGAGACATGTGTATCTCACCCTTCTCCCCAAACAAATTCTAAAGCCTTGAAAATCAGGATTTATAATGACGGTGCTGAGACGACTTTAGCTCTGAATGGCCTGGTTATAATAAGGTTGCTTTCCCAGGGGTAATCAAATACAATTGCAGAAGCAAAAACAGTATGGCAGATAATTCCCACGAAAAATCAGAGGTGTTGGAGGCTGAAGCTGTGTTCTTTGCGGAGAGGGCAGAGGGAGAAGCAGGTTCTATACCAACGATGACGGGGGTCCTTTCAAAGCATCTTTGGGCAGATCCCTTGTGACTCCCCACAAGGTGCTACCACCCAGCCAGTTGCCCACCTCTCCCCATGGGGGGCCCCCCAGTGAAGAGGAGCTACACCTCTGCCGCAAAATTGATAAAATTGAATTAAGCAGCTCACTGGGGAACTGCCTAATGCTTCCTGTGCTCGGCAGAGGCAGCAATGAGATTATTTTACATCTTTCTTTATTAAAAAAGTTCTAAGTTGTATAAAAAATGAACTGCATTATAGGGAGGTACACTCGGCTAACAGCCTCATTCTGCATGCCACCACTGTGGGTGGCCATTTATTTTGGGAGGACTTGGGAGGTGGCGGCCACCCGACCAGAGCATCATTCATCTCAGCCTAGGAGAGGGACCCATTAATGGCTGGGAAGTTTTTGGTCCAGTTCACGCGGCAGAGAGGAGATCCTAACAGCACTAATGGCAGCTCTTTATTGAGCACCTGGGGCCTTCCAGCACTGGGCTAGTGCTTCAAAAATATCATCTGGTTTCTGCAGAGGAATCTGAAGCTCAGAGGAGCTGCTCAAGGTTACACATGTGGCCCCCAGGCAGGAATCAAACCTGGATCAAGCCTTCTACTTAGCCCATTGCCTCAGATGTGTGTGAAGGACTCTGGGAGAATTCACACAGGGGGGCTCGGTGAGTCTGCAGACAGTGTCCCACAGAGAACAAAGACAGCTAGACCTTCCTTGGGGAATCAGTGGAAGGCTGTTTCCTACATCAGATAGATAGTTGTTGGATTCTTGAGGACCACAGGAAGCCCTGTTTTCTGGGCTCCAGTTGTGTGATACTGAATCAGTCACATACCTGTCTGCTATGAGAAAGGCACCATGAGACAGTGTGCATATTTCCAGTTGCTGCCTAGCTATGCAAGTCGGGAAAAATCCCTCCTCTCTCTGGACCCTGGTCACCTCCTACATGAAACAGGGCCTTAAATGAACTTTCTTTGTGAGAAATGGCCAGGGGGTAGGGTGCAGTACAAGACATCCCCAGCCAGGTTGCATGAGGATGTTTCTGCAGCTTTCAGGAATCAGGAACATGTGGCCCAGTCCTGGGGTGCCTGCAGCTCAGCAAGGCTGCATGGAGCACCTGTGTGCCGGTCTGCGAGGTGCTGTGCTGAAGGTCAGGCTGGGCCCTCCACTTCCCTCTCCCCATCACCTGCCTTTCTGAAGCTGGAGGGAACTGGAGCTAGGTAATCTGGCCCTGGGGCAGAGGCCACACTACAGAGACATGGGAGTGAGGCAGTGAAAGCGCTAGTTCTGAGCATCCACATGCAGAAAAGCGCTCTGAGATGCCAGACTCCAGAAGCCAGCCCCCTGACAGGGATGGCCATGGTGGAGTTGTTTTGCTCACTAAGGAAGAATAACTGCCTGCAAGGAGAATGTGGCTTAGGGTCCAAAAAGCTAAACTGAATCTTCATGCATGTTAGCAATGTGTGATAAGAATAACAATGACAACTAGAATAGGTATTACTGACTACTTTTATATGCCAGATTCCATATGAGACACTTTATGTATTATTTCTAATCATTACAGCAACTTGTAAATTGGTTTCATCTTCCCCATTTTATGGATAATGAAATCGAGGCTTTACGAGGTCATGGATTTGCCCAAATGCACTCATGGAACGGCAGAAGCTGGAAACCCAACTCAGAACTAACATCAAGCCAGTGATCGTCTCTCTAGCACAAGTGAAAAATACATGAGACTCTGATTATGTGCACTTGCTGAACGTGTTCCCTTTTGTGGATGAAGAAACGGAGGCCTGGGAGCGCCTTCTCCCCTATGTCAGCTTCCAGACCAGAGCCCAGTTCTCAGAGTTCTCAGAGTCCTCCTCCTCCCTGGCCCCCGGGACTCAGCCACCCCTGCTGGGAGGCCTTGCTCACCCGAAGCCGGCGCCCGAAGACGGTGACCTGGCCGCGAGCCTGCTCCTTGCGCTGCCGCCACTCCACCAGGTTGAGGCCGTTGTCGATGGGCAGCGTGACGTTCCTCTTGCCCACGGTGGGGTTGACGGTCCCGGCCAGCAGGTGGGGCTCCGTCTGCAGGGCCACCTCCATGCCGTTGGCCAGCAGCAGCCGCAGGGAGCCGTCGGCCCCGATGAAGTAGCTGTTCCGGACCTGGTCTGGGGGACAGACGAGGGGCGACTCTGTTTAGGAGGGCTGAGGAGGGGCGGAGTTGTACCGCAGAGGCACAGGTGTGGTCTCCAAATGTGCTTACGTTTCTGACCACAGGAGTAAATCCCTGTCATTGAAGAACACTAGAAAAATATATGGAGGTCCCTGAGCTCGATCTCCAAAGGAAACTACTCTAAGTATTTTGGTGTGTTCCCAGATTTCACAATATTTCTGAATACATTTATGGTTAAAAATGGCTGCTTATAGAGTTTTTACTGATTACTGTTATTTTATTGTTGAATATGTTCATAACATTTTTCGTAATGACTGTATGCTATGCCATTATATGGAAATACCAGAACTTATTCGATCGGTCCTCAAATAGATATTCTGATTATTTCCAGTTTTGCATGATTACAACACTGCAAATAAATATCTGTTAATCATTATGCTAAAGTGACAGAAGTCAGGCACAAAAGGCCAGATATTATATGAATCAGTACATATATATGCAATATCTGCAAAAGGCCAACTTGTAGAAAGAAAGTAGAGAGGGAAAGGGAGAAAGGGGTATGACTGCTAATGACTATGGGGTTTTCTCTTGGGGGTGATAAAAAAATTTCTGAAATTAGATAGTGGTGATGGTTGCACAACTTAGTAAACATACTGAAAACCACTGAATCATACTCTTTAATAGAGTGGATTTTATAGTGTGTGAATTATATCTTTATTAAAAATATACTTTTTGGATAAATCAATGTCTTCACTTTGGGTTATTTAATCAAAATAGACTCCTAAAAGTAGGAGTCCTAGAGCAAAGGGTTGAACATTTTTAAAGCTTTCCCACTATGGTAACAACACTCTTTACAATAAGGTGAAAAATAGCTCCAATATGTAAATCAGTGACAAAATGCCAAATATATGTTTTAAATCACTGTCATATATAAACATATATGTGTCGTATGTGTATATATATATGACAGTGAATTTAAAGTAGACTAAATTTTGAAATTTTAAACCTGATTTTTAATTAGGATCTTTAGCTAATAGAACCTTCTGGAGAAAAAGTAAATTTAAGCTGTAAAATGCACACTGTGTTCTTTTCTAAAAATGGAAAAACCTGAGTTTTTACTGCAGTCATCCTCCTCTCGCCCTTTGTCAGCTGCTGCTTCTGTCTGCACTGCCCCTCTGTTTAATAAACGTGAGCCCAAGCTCTTCCTTCAAGGCTCTGTGTAAACGTCATCTCTTCGACCAGAAGCTTCCCTTGTTCCTCTGGTTAGAACGAAAGCCTCCCCCTCCCTTAGCCTCTTTCCAGGTCTCACCAGTGGTCCTGCAGCTGAGCGGTGCAGGGGTTCACCGCTCCGTGAATGAATGAACTCTCAAACACTTCTGTTCAGTTCAGTCGCTCAGTTGTGTCCAACTCTTTGCGAACCCATGGACTGCAGCCCACCAGGCCTCCCTGTCCATCATCAACTCCCGGAGTCCACCCAAACCTATGTCCATTGAGTCGGTGATGCCATCCAACCATCTCATCCTCTGTTGTCCCTTCTCTTCCTGCCCTCAATCTATCCCAGCATCAGGGTCTTTTCAAATGAGTCAGCTCTTCTCATCAGGTGGCCAAAGTTTTGGAGCTTCAGCTTCAACATCAGTCCCTCCAATGAACACCCAGGACTGATCTCCTTTAGGATGGACTGGTTGAATCTCCTTGCAGTCCAAGGGACTCTCAAGAGTCTTCAACATCACAGTTCAAAATCCTCAATTCTTCAGCACTCAGCTTTCTTTACAGTCCAACTCTCACATCCATACATGACTACTGGAAAAACCATAGCCTTGACTAGACGGACCTTTGTTGGCAAAGTAATGTCTTTGCTTCTTAATATGCTGTTTAGGTTGGTCATAACCTAGTGAATAGTGAAAAGCACTACTGCACAGAGATTAAGAGCACAGACTTTGGAGCCAGACCTCCTGGACTCAAGTCCTACCTCTGCTGGTCTCCTCCTGCAAGACCTTGGGCAAATCCCTAAGCTTTCAGGCCTCTGTTTCTTTATCTGTTCATTTGGGATAATAACTGTACTGTTACCTCTCGGGATTAAGTGGGATGATGACTATGAAGATCTGAGAAGGGCGCTGAGTCTCTAGCGTGTGTTACGTAAATGTTAGTGATCACTAGTTGCGTGTGCCGTGTGCTGTGCTGGTCACTGTCACATCTATCTTTCGTCATCTTTTCTCCGTCTTCTCTGATCCATGTCACACACCTGTCAGAGTGAACTTTTCTAGTACCGATCATGGTCCTTCCATAGCTCCCCTTTCCCTGCAGATTCATGCTTAAGAGAATATGTCCCAGAGCCTATTTGTCTGGGTCCAAATACCTACTAGTTGTGTGACTTTGGATAAGCCACTTAAGCTCTTGATGCCTCATTATCTTCATTTGGAAAAATGGAGATATTCATCATACCTCAGAGTGGTGTTGCATTTAAAAAGGACAATGAATATAAAATAATAAACATATACTTCACACAGAATAAGTGCTCAAAATGATAGCTATTGTTGTTATTATTGCATGTGCTCAGTAAACATTTGCTGGATCAGGCTAAATATACACTGGGCTGTGTCAAGCAATGAGGAAACAGTGGTTTCTGCAGGGAACCCTCACTGAATCTTCCCTGTGAGGAAGTGTGTGTGTGAATCTTCCCTCCCCCCACCATCTTTCTCCCCTTCTCTCTCCCACACACGCAGAATTCTAAAATCTGCCTCGAACTTGCCATGCATTATTCAGTGACAATCTGTATTTTAGTCCCTTTGAACAGTGAAAAAGCCTGTGTCAATTTATCTTTTAAAGCTGTTCTTTGCTGAATCCACATATGTCCATTAGTGGTGCCTGCGGATGGAACAGCATCTGCAGAGACCCCATCTCAAATGATCCCCGTTTAATGTGAGCTGTGACTTCCCAAGGCTGCTGCTCATTAGTAGATGCTTCTTATTTCTTCCCATAGTTCAGACATGAGATGAAACCGAACGAGCTTTTTTGTGACAAAGACTCTACTGAAGCGGCTGCAAAACCGAGCATCTGAGTCTGGTACGAAATGAGGAAAGAGAGCTTGGCAGAGGTACCAAAGAGGAGAGAGAGGTATCAGCTTTCCTGCATTCCAAGATGGACTTTTGACATTTTAATGTTTCTGAAATTGGAATGTGTCTTAAGTCCTCGTATGGCGTCTCCCGGCCCCCTCCACCTGAAAAGTTGTTATTAAATTGATGCTACATTTAAAAACTGAGGAGATGTGTCACTTTTGAATTTTTAAAAGTTGTCTAAATATTAGAAGGCCTGCGTTAACTTTTGAGAAAAATGTTGCAAGCCGGCTTAGACATATGGAGCAGAGGAGGCAATTCTTAACCACGGGGAAGAAAACGTTTGAAGAATAAGATGTTTGTGTGTCATCAGCTGCCCTCTCGTCCTTGGTCAGCCTGAACCCTGGCTGGTTAGGAATTGGTTCCTTTTCTCAGGAATAAATACCTAGGGTCTGTCCCAACCCACCGCTAAAGGTGTTTGGTGAAGAAGGAATTCCAGGGCTTGATTTCTCTTTCTTTGACTAGAAACTGATACTGTTCTTTGAGTTTTGTTAAAGGCAAAGGACTACAGTTGGGATAAAAATGGTTGTGGAAATACATGGTTATTCTCTTATGGTAAATCAAAGTGCCTGTTAATTAGTTAATTAATCCAACAAGTACTTCCTAAGCAGTACTATGTGCCTGGCCCATGCCAGTCCCTCTATGTTTGTTGTCTGAAGAAACTGTCTGAGCAACCCTAGGAAGCAGGACTTGTAATTTAGCCCCATTTCCCAGACCCAGAAACTGAGGATCAGAGAAGAGTGACTCCACCCAGTCCACTCCGGAGCTGGTACAGCACGTGCAGGGGCCCGGTGTGTCTGCCCTGGAACTGCCGGGCACCATCCAACATGGCTCTAGCTTGCTGAGGTCACCTGGATTAGCAGCTAATGGATTCTCTACCCTTTGTTCTGCTGATAATGGGATGAGACAATGAAATATTACTCTGAAGCTTGCGGGAGAGACTCTACAGGGCTCAGGCTGGTGTGTTTTGCAAATCAGGTGATGATACAGCGAGAAACCAGTTGTCATGCTTTTCTGTTCTTGGGCAGCTGCAGTAGAAGCAGCTTGTTTCTCGTGTCATCCTTCTTCAAAGGGGGCCTCCCCACCCCGCTGTCTCCAAGTCCGCAGTCCCCTGGCTGGCTTACCTTGCAGCAGTGTATAGAAGGCACCTGAGGCAGACAGGTTGGTGGTTATGGTGACGTCGTCCTTGCTGGAGGTCTCCACCTGGACATGCACTGAGCTGTCTGTGTCACTTCGGAAACTGCTCACCTGGCCAGTCGGGAAGGTCACATTTGTCAGGCGGCCAAAGCTGTCATACCTGAAAACCAAGGGGTGGCTCTGAGTAACAGAGATATAATGGTGCTATTGCTGGAGCTTGGCATGTTCATGCCATGGTTTTGCATGTTCCACTTTTCTTACTGCTCGGATACATTTCCATGTCTCCAGCATCTCCTTGGACACAACTCCATCTGTTGATATTCAACTGCATGCAGACAACTTCTCTCTCTTGAGTCTTCCTTTCCTAATTTTGTAGAGTGGAGATGCCCTCCTCACCCTCCAGGATTCCTGTGAGCAATGTGTGGAAGTGCCCTGTTGCTATGAGCTAATACTCACTCACTAAGAGCCAGATGATGGTGCCCCAGGTGGTGCTAGTGGTAAAGAATCTGCCTGCCAATGCAGGAGACATGAGATTCGGTTCGATCCTTGGGTCAGCAAGATTCCCAGAAGAGGAAGTGGCAACCCATTCCAGTATTCTTGCCGGGAGAATCTCATGGATAGAGGGGCCTGGCGGGCTACATACAGTTCACATGGGGCCACAAAGAGCTGGACACGACTTAGCATGTGCATATGTGTGCGCGCACACACACACACACACACCCACACACCCCTGAGATGGATGATCCAGAGTCTTAGAGCTGGGCGATTCCCAGAGGCAAGGAGTCAAAGTGGATGCTTGAATACCTTCTCAAACCTCCCCGTTCCCCTCAACACAAGAACTGGTTAAACAGGTTTCTCCCAACCAGCACTAGACATGGGGCTTCCTAGGAAGCCACAGAGCCTGGGAAAAGGGGCCTTTGAATTCAGACCAGGATTCTGCTGCCACAGAAGCAGGCTAGACAGATGGGCTCCTGCAGCCTCTTCACATCTAGATTTCACATCTGGAACCAAGCAGTGCTCAAAACCCACAGCTTTGCTCTGGTGTGGCCTTTCTAAAGCATCACAAGTGAATTTAATTCTCTCTCCCATTCTCTTGATGATAAAAGAAATAACCTAAAATTATTCAACACCCACAATACGGCATTCAGATACGGTGCTAGTGCTTTTTATACATTCTTTCCCTTAACCCTCACAACTAGTTTAAAAGACACATATTAGCTCTTTTTTGGAGGACACTCAGAAAGGGAAGTCACTCGTTCCAGGTCACACAGCTAAGTGTGATACGAGTCGAAATTTAAACTTAGATCTCTGCTTGCCGACAGAGATCGGCAAGCAAGCCGACACTTGCTTCTCTGTCTTCAGTGTTTCCAGACCACCTATTTGCATGTGGCCATGGCGTGTGCTCTCCTACCTGCTACAGAGAGGCTGGCAGATGGCAGGGAGTTGGCTACTAACAGGTAGGTTTGAAGAGCCTTTCTGCGCTTGTATGTGAATGGGGATGGGCTTCTCAGGTGGTAGTAAAGAGCCTGCCTGCCAATGTACGAGGCACAGCTTCGATCCCTGGGTGGGGAAGACCCGTGGAGGAGGGCATGACAACCCACTCCAGTGTTCTTGCCTGCAGAATCCCATGGACAGAGGAATCTGGCAGGTTATAGTCCACGGGATCACAAAGAGCTGGACACGACTGAAGCAACTTAGCACACACGCAGGTGAATGGGCATAAAGTTCTTCACCCAGGTGCCAATGTTTCTGACTTCGACTCAGGCTCAAGCCTGCAGCGTGGGTTCAGCTGTGGATGTCTCCCTTGTGTACTCTGGGTCTCCTGCTGGACTTCTTTTCCTGCTCAGCTTTTAATACCGGGGTAAAGCTGTTCTCTGGGTGCCAGAGAAATGGGTTTTAACTGTGGTGAAATGAAAGGCCTGAAAGTCTAGCTCCATCCTGGCTCTTCTCCTGATTCCTTCAGCTGGGCCTGGCTTCCTGATGGGCCCCTGGGGCCCTGTAGCTCCTATGGTTTCAGGTGAGACCAGGCAGGGCTTCGCTGAGCAATTTTCTGCTCAAGGTCAGATTTGGATGCTGCATGGGTTCTGCCATCCGCCTACTCTTTCTGTCCCCATGCTGGCTGGTACTGAGCATGGACTGATAACAGTCCCAGGCACAGTCTGCCACAGAGGTGTTGGTGAAGCCCAGTCCTTGACTCAAGACTGACTTTAGGGGGAGAGCCAAGGGGCTTTGGGTGAGCTGAATCTTTGGTGCTGAGGTCTGAGGAAGGTGAATGGATGCCCTTTCCATGATGGCAAGAAAAGCAGGGGTTGCAACCATAAACCTCAGACCTGAGGGTTGGGTGGGGCAAGGCTGTGCAGATGTATCAGTCCCTTGGGTTCTCTTAGAGGCAGTTTCCTGGTGGCTCAGCTGGTAAAGAATCTGCCTGCAATGAGGGGGACCTTGGTTCGATCCCTGTGTTGGGACGATCCCCTAGAGAAGGGAAAGACTACCTACTCCAGTATTCTGGCCTGGAGAATTCCATGGACTGTACAGTCCATGGGGTTGCAAAGAGTCGGACACGACTGAGCAACTTTCACTTTCAGAGGCAGTTAAAGGATTTGGAAAACTGTTTCCTGTCATGATTCTCTCATTTTTCTCTCTTTGTACCAAGTCAGGTTCTTTTAAAGGGAGGTCAGTCTGGCTCAGCAGAGAGCAGCGGTGAGGCCTGACCTGGAATGGAGGGTGAGAGGTGCAGAGTGCCTCTCAGAGAGGGTGAGGGCATGACTCTGAAAGACTGCTGTGGGCAGTCTCAGGTTAAAGATCTGGGCTGTCTGTCTTAAGGCCTCTCACCTGGAGGAGCCCACAGCTCTGCTCCCCTTAACTCTGGGAGAGGCTGGTGTGCTTTTTAGCCCTTTGTGGCTGCCAGAAATTTGAACAGGAAGGAATTTCACAAAAATGTTTGCAGCGGCTATCTCTGGGAGCTAGAATTACAGGGGATTTTAGTTGCTTCTTTAAATGCATTTTATAGTCTCAAGATTTTTAATAATTAATACGGATGATTTTCATCATCAGAAAAGTGCTGTGGCGGGACTTCCCTGGTAGTCCAGTGGTAAAGAATCTGCCTTGCAATGCAGTGGATGTGGGTTCCATCCCTGGTCAGGGAGCTAAGACGCCACGTACCCTGGGGTGACTAAGCCCGTGCGCCACAGCTGCTGAGTCTGCTAGCTTTGCAACTAAGACCCCAGCCAAATACATACATTAATAAAAAGAAGAAGAAGAAAAGAAAAGTGCTGTGACAAGGCAAGTAATGCCTCATCAGCATGGCCACCTTGGGGAAGAGTACTTTTTAAATTGCTGGTAATTTTAGAAGTGTGTCATTTAGAGGACATCTGCCAATAACAACCTGTAGGCCAAATATACTACAGCATCCCCAATTTTTGAGCCCCAAATCAAGACTCTCCGCTCTCTAACCCCCACCCCCAACAAAAACCCCATTTTGTCCCTTTAACTGCAGTCTATGAGTAAGCTGAGTGCTGTCAGATCCCCAGTCATCTTGGAAGGTAACAGGAAGATCGGTTTCAGTCTGACAGTTTCACGGGATGGGTATGCTGTTCTAGTCTGCTTCTTTGAACACCTATGATCCATGTACACATTCTTTATTAATCTAATTTCCTGGCCTATCTGGATAAAAAAGATTTTATTACACCGTGCAAAATACTTAAAAAGGAGTTCTAGAGTCTTACAATTTTGACTTGATAGATTATTCACTGGGCTTCCCTGGTGGCTCAGATGGTAAAGAATCTGCCTGCAATGCAGGAGACTTGAGTCTGACCCCTTAGTATGGAAGATCTCCTGGAGAAAGGTATGGCTATCCACTCCAGTATTCTTGCCTGGAGAATTTCATGTCACCTTGATGCTACTTCTATCAAGGCCCTGCTCAAACGCCACCACCTACTGGTCTCCCCATCCCTTCTTCTCCCAGTGATCCTCTGGAATGTGCCCCCTGCATCACAACAGCTGATGGACAACCTGTCTCCTGCTTTGGCCTCGGAGCACCTGAGTCAGGACAGGATTGTGAGGTCAGACAGACAGGCTGGGAATCTGGATGACAGCATCTGCCAGCCATGGGACCCTGGAGGACTGGCCTTCGGTTCATCTCGGCTTCCCTAGCATGGGGCTGGGAGAGAGAATATGAGCCGGGGATGGTGGCCGAATAGATAAATGAATGCAGGATTGCATGTGCAAGGCCTCTTTCCTGCTTCTTCAGGGAAGAGAGACCATGATTCATTCACATGCCACCCGCTGCAGGACCTACAGAGGCCTGACACACAGTAGGTCCCTGGTGAGCACCTGCTGAACGCACAAATATGGAAACAACCGCTTTCACCAAATGATACTTGAGCAATCTCCGCAGGCATCTCCCCAGAGTTTTAGCTTCCAAGCTAGAAAGAGGCTTTGCATAAAGGCAGACAATTGTAATTATTATCGAAGGTGGCCCGTAATACATAATTAAATTGAGCCTGAAGACGATACGATGAAAAGGCCGGATGCTGTCAAGATCTGGCTTTCTAGGAGATGGCCAAAAAGCAGTAATTTCCACTCCTCATATTTTCCATTAGAAGGACTGAATGTCTTAATTAAATGAACATCAAACGGCACAGCCCATTTATAGAATTTTCTTGTCTCTTATTCACTCATTTCACTGCTTTCTGGAGCTTGAGAAAGGCCACTGACTCTCTCTGCCACCTAATCAATTCCTGTGATTATCCCATCCAAAGCTGCTGCTTTTGCCTCTGCAGGGAGGAGCTGGGGCTACCCATTCTCCGGACCTTCCTTGACCTTTGCCCTGTGGCTGCCTCGGTGTGTCCCTTTCTCTTCCTGCTACCCAGTTGCTAAGGGAAAGGATGCAGGGTGCTTCCCAGCAGGACGCTGGAGACAGGTCTCTATCTGCAGGGTCTGGATTCCGGCCTCATGAAGGACAACTTCTGGACAATGGCTTAGATACATCTGTTGCAGCTTTACTTAAATTACTGGCCAATTTTCTTCCTTTCTATCGCAGAATAACTGAAGGAACAAGTCGGTGTGGGAAGGTCCTTGGAGTCAGATGGTTTAGGTTTTGAATCTAGGCTCTACACTTGCCAGCAATGCAACCCTAGAGGGCAGGCACTCAGTTCTGCT